CTGTTTCTTGTATTTATATATATACTTTTTAAATATTTTTTATGGATTTTTTTAAAAATTTTATTTTGTAATGTAGTTTAAGATATCACCTGGACTTCAGGGAAGAACAGTGTAACAATACTGACTGAGGGCCCGTTCGAGCGAAAAAATATCCGTGCGATTTTCCAGTTAATTCACCGGTACACACTTTCTAAAACCGCTCGGACACGTGCCCAATTACCTTACCATCTGGATTATCCGCGACAATTTTGACCACCAAATTGCTGGGTAGAATTCCGTGTATGAGATGGCCTTGGAGCCAGAGACGATGATAAATCAACCTTAATTGCTTTGCCAAATGGTTCGTCCTCAGCAAGTACGCGCTGTCGTCGCGCTCTTCTTCACCTCCTCATGTTCACGGCAAAATCAAAGTTGGATTTGACAGTAAATCCATCCACATAACATCGCATCATTGTAGCCATAATGGTGGCTAGTAGCATAGCTACACGTTCAATTTGTAAAATTACCATTACAGTACAGTATTCAGAGAATTAAACCTCAATACAAATCATTCCCGCGTATCGTTTAAACAAGCAGAAGTAAACAAAGAATAGGTTGATGGGATTGGTGTTTCTGAATGACCTTACAAAATTACTTCCGGAATAGTTTCGTTACACGGTATTCGATATGAGCTAAAATTTGCTCGAACGGTGGACCACCCACTGTGTGCTCGGCGCGATTAACCGGTGAATCACCGGAATACGGTTTGTGTTTTTCGCTCGAACGGGCCCTGAGTATCCTGAATAAAGAAAGATTATTATCTCCAAACAATGCAATGGGAGACCTACCAGATAGCGATTTGGATCACTTTTTAGGAATCCTGTCCCATAAGACTTTTATTAAACTCTGAAAAAAAAAGGATATCAGTAGGTATTTTTATGATCTTTTTTTTTTCTCCTTTTTTTTTTTTTTTTTTTTTTTTTTTTTTTTTTTAATTCCTGTTTTGATTTAAGTTTTTCTAATTTTTGTATCCGTATTTGTTAAAGGGACCGTGAAGACAAGCTTAGGCTTCTGTACTGGTCGCTCACCATTGTATGTTGTTTTTGGTGAAATAAATGTCACGTTAATTGCCTGTTTGTGTTTTTTCTTTCACTGTGCATGTTTTGCAATGTAACCTGTATTATTTCTTTGAGGCATAATAAATGAAATGAAATACTGTAAATAAGTTAAGTTTATGTGAAAAAATGTAGTTCAAAGAAACTTCTAATAAAAATTCATATGGTAACATCATATTGAAATTAAAGCAATTTATATTGTAATTTTTTATGGTTGTTAAGTTCGAGTTTACATTTCGGGTTTCGCCTACATAATTGCCATTATAATATTATAACATTATTCGACCAACTGAGATTCATTGTTTTTGAGTCGGCAAATACTCTGCAAACCGGGATTCGGCAAAGTTGTCTCAGCAATCTGGCATTCAGCAAACTGGATTTCAACCATTAGGCCTATATCTGTTTTGCTGATTTTAAATACACCAACAAGATGAAATAACGTTTATATACCTATTGCCTGATGAGACTGTCAAAGTTAATGGATTTTTACATTGATTATGATATGCCTCAGTTCAGTGTGAGCAAGTAGGTATTCCTCCTTTATGTGAGTACAACCAGTGAAGTGAAAATATTGTCAGGAGATGGGCCTACGCTGTACACAGTTGGGGTTAGTGTATGATTTACAATCCTTAAACTTGCTCTATTCGTTATAAAAGCTATGAAAATTTGTGTTTTATTTATTTTTATTTATTAATTTTTTTAGAATTATTTACAAATCAAACTTGGTTGTATGATGGTTCTACTAATAAGATTGGTTTTTGTGGAGTATCCTATTGTTTGCATTGTGATCAGGGGCGGATCCAGAATTTTTCAAACAGGGAGCACAACATATTCAGAATAGAGTGCTAATTTCAACATATGCCTCGAAATTAAAAAATTTAGTAGCAAAACTAGGTTTGTTTAGGCCTAAAACACTCAAACCAAGAACCTGAACATATTCGTACAGTTTAACAACTTGTGAGAATTTTTAATACTGTATGTTGCCATTTTCTATTTTCTTAAATTTCCGCATTAAAAATAATAAGGGTTTTTGCCCCTGTTGTTGGCAAACCAAGTCGATAATTCATGTCAGTCGAATTTTTGTCCACTGCTGTACATTTTTAAAATTTCAATGAAAATCAATGTTATGTTCTAATCCCTCCTGGAGCCACCACTGCTCAGAGGTACGAAACCCTGCGGGGATGGTAACAAATGCCATTGTGGCTGGGACCCCTCCCCCTCCTCTGCATGAAAACTTGTATATAACTTCGAAATATCTTAAAACAATATAAACCAAAATAATGTTATGGTTAGGCAAATTACCTTTTTCTTTTTTATTCGACGATTCTATCGTTTTGTCGGGGGAGATAACAGACACCATTGTTAGCGGATCACCTCTTGTTATTGTACTGGATCAACTTTCTTATTCTTCTTTCTTTCTCCCCTTTTCTGTTCGCACGATATCTCAAAAACTGCCACGAGTTACCGCACAATCGCTGTCAACGAACCTTTGGCTTGGTCTGGAATAGTCATGGTAAGCTTTTCAACGCGCTCAGTAATGCGTGACGTCATCTACGTGCAATTTTGCGTTTTTACATTATCGATCATATCAGCCTAACCAATTGCCATTTCGAAATCGTATAGCATTAACTTTGCTTTATTGTTGAATGTACTGTACCCTAATTTTACGCGTGCGTTTCATTACGCGCGTGTAGGCGTGCGTCAAATTTTTTAAATGCTCAAAATCACTTTTTGACTAAATTAGAGCACGTTTCAGGCCATTTTGAGCATTTCGAAATTTTTAAAAGTTTACCACTATGCGTGCACATTTTTACGCGCGCAGCACGTACGGAAGCTAGACATCATGTTTTTTTCACACAATTTGGGTTCCTGACATTGTTTCCACAAATTTCCATCCTTTTTGGTCACCTTATGGCCAATAGCAATGTCGTACGTGCGCATCAAATATAGGTATCTTTGCGCGGATTTGTGCCGATATACAGTGAAAATATGCTAAAATCAGGCCTATTTTTAATCAGTTATAGCTCCTAAGGATGAAAGGTGACCCCCAATTTTTATTACATATTCTGAAAGTTGTAAATATGATTTTATAGATCAAAATGGCTGATCGGACATTGTGACGTCATCATATTGGCATCTGAATTCAAAGAAAGTGAATTATAGCTATGACGTCATTTTTGAAAATACGCATTTGAGCGTATCTCGCTTATCCTTAATCGATCATCTTCCAACTTTGAGTATGTTATAGCTGAGACAATTCTCTTTTATATATTTGACTTCGTTTTACATTTTGATGACGTCATCATGGTCAAAAAAATTGTTTTTTCTGACCCCCCACAACTTTCTTTCCTCAAAACGTTGATGAGACCATATCATCTTAACCATTCGTCATTTCTGAATCATATTAAGTGAGCATAATCTTCAGGTCCATGTTCAATGTTAGGTACCTTAATTTTCCGTTCGCGCGACTTAACGTGCGCGTACGCGTGCGTCAACATTTACATATGCATAAAACCATGAATATTTTTAATCAGTTATAGCTCCATAGGATGAAAGGTGACCCCCAATTTTTATTACATATTCTGAAAGCACATGAGTTGTAGATACGATTTTATAGATCATATTGGCTGATCCGACATTGTGACGTCATCATATTGCCATTTGAATTATGAAAAAATTGAATTTGTATTTATTTCGTTATTACTTTATATACTCCTTTGAACGTACTCGCTTATCTTGATTTATTGTCTCCCACCTGTGAGTATGTTATAGCTAAATCAATTCTCTTTCGTACGTGTCCCTTTATTTTTTATTTTGATGACGTCATCATGGTCAAAAAGAATGCTTTTTTCGGAGCCTTCTCATCTTTCTTTCTTAAAAGATATAAACACACTAAAAATAGAGGGCGGCAGACTGTATTTCGACACTATCAGACCGATAGTTCGTATAATGTAAAGGCAAAATTTGTGTGGCATTACCAACCAACAGGGGGTTTTAAATTAAACTTGACAAGGTTTAAATTACCGTCGTGAAGCACGTCGTATAAGGTATTCGTACTTGTGCGTTAAAATTTTAAAATTGTTAATATCACTTTTCAGATAATTTTAAGCACATTTCAGGTCATTTTAAATATTCCAAAACTTTCCAAAATTTAAGCGCCGTACGCTCATTTCCACGCCCACAGCACGTACTGAAGCTGGAAATTACGTTTCGGTTACATGTGTTGGGTTTGTGAGCCATGCGCACGGACGTTAAGACGTATGTGTACACATTCGTAAGTCCTTAAAATGCTCAAAATTACTCTTTTTCTTTAAAATTCCTTATAAAATGCTCAAAATTACTCTTTAAATAGAGCATGTTTTTAGAATATTATACTTTTCAATCAGAACCGCGCGTGCTTCGTGAGGGTCAAAGTACGGCGGATCACCTAACTCGTCCTCAGTGACGAGTTCAAATCTAGTTTTTTTTCTTTTTGATCCGATGACTTGTGTGTGCTAGACAACAGGTGATCCCTGCTGGTGCCACCAATGCTCTGCGGAGGTGGTAAAAAACATCCCGGCCACAATGAAATTGTGGATCCAACAAACCCACACATCAATTTATAATACTAAATATTACCTTTCCATACAGTTGAGTCAAGCCCATGATGCTGCATACAATACAACTTTAACTTCATTTAAACGTTTCAATGCACAAAACATGTAACACCCCACAACCACACCAATCCCACTACCAACAATGTTTAAACAACGTCATTGTCGAGTGGCCTACAGCATCATTGATGCTCTCGTTAATACGTTATTCCTGATGTCCAATGGTATAAAAAACCGTTGAAAAATCCTTTGGAGTCAAACCGTATAGATGCGTCTAATATTTATGTGTAATTAATTTAAATTCTAATTACAGATCTTGAACCACCAGGTCCCGTGGAACCAACTGAGAAATATGTTTCCCCAAAAGACTTTGCAATCTTTACATGTCCTTCACCTGATGGAGTTCCAACACCTATCACCATCACATGGATCAAAGATGGAGGCGTGCTTGATGTGTCCGATACTGAGAAGTATCCACAGTCAGATACAATATTAGAGATCAGAAAAGTCAATGAAAATGATGAAGGAGACTACCAATGTAAAGCAGAGAATGCAGCATTCAGTGGAGACGAGGGGAAGCTGAGTAATAACGGAACACTGTCGGTGGCGAGTAAGTAATAATAATAATAACTTTATTTTCAAACGAAAAAACTTGAATCACAAAAATTGTGTTTTTCAGAAGGCCGTTTTCACTTAACATAAAACATAATATAAACTAGATTTGAACTCGTCACTGAGGACGAGTTAGGTGATCCGCCGTACTTTGAGGCGTACACAGTGCTGATGATTGAAAAATTTTATATGAAAAAAAAAACTCCTGATATGAATACAGTGTCAGGAACACAAAATATGTAACAAAACCTAATTTCCAGCTTCAGTACGTGCTGTGCACGTGGATATGAACCTACGACGCGTAAATTATAGAAAGTTTTGGAATGACATAATATAAAATTCAGTTTTTTCTTAATTCCAATGGCAATATGATGACGTCACAATGTCCGATCAGCCATTATGATCTATAAAATCGTATCTACAACTCATGTGCTCTCAGAATGTGTAATAAAAATTGGGGGTCACTTTTCATCCTAAGGAGCTATAACTGATTAAAAATAGGCATTATAAGCATATGTAATATTTGACGCACACGTACGCGCATGTTAAGACGCGAAAACAAAACGTAAGATACCTAACATTCAACCCTGACCTGAAGTATAAGCCCATTTAATTTTATTCAGAAATGACGAATGGTTAAGGTGATATGACGTCATCAACGTTTTGAGAAAAGAAAGGTGAGAGGGGGTCAGAAAAAGCATTTATTTTGACCATGATGACGTCAAACACGTTATATTCTCATTGCGGACTTATAAAATCCGCATACGCCTTAAAACTAAAAGAAAATGAATACGTTTAGAGTCCGTACTGAGCCCAAAAAATATGCAATGAAAATATAACGTGTTGTCATCAAAATGTAAAAAGAAGTCACATATATGAAAGAATAGTCTTAGATATAACATACTCAAAGTTTAGAGACGATCGACCAAGCATAAGCGAGATACACTCAAATTCGCATTTTTAAAAATGACGTCATAGATAAAATTCAGTTTGTTGAATTCAGATGGCAATATGATGACGTCACAATGTCCGATCAGCTATTATGATATATAAAATCAAATCTACAACTCATGTACTTTCAGAAAATATAATAAAAATTTGGGGTCACCTTTCATCCTAAGGAGCTATAACTGATTAAAAAAAAAAAGACATGATATAAAGCATATTTTAATTTTGACGCACGCGAATGCTCACGTTATTACGCGCGCACAAAAATATAACATTTAACCATGAACTGAAGTTTATACCCACTAAATATGATTCAGAAATCACGACTGATTAAGGTGATTATGGGGTCATCAAAGGTTTGACGAAAGAAAGATGAGGGGGGTAAGAAAAACCCTATATTTTGACCATGATGACGTCATCAAAATGTAAAAAAATGTCACATATATGATGGAGAATTGCCTGAGCTATAACATACTCAAAGTTAGAAGACAATCGACCAAGAATAAGCGAGATACGTTCAAATGCGCATTTCTTAAAATGACGTCATCAATAATATTCTGTTTGTTGAATTCAGATGGCAATATGATCACGTCATAATGTCCGATCGGCCATTATGAGCTAAAAAATCATAATTACAACTCATGTGCTTTCAGAATATGTAATAAAAATTGGGGGTCACCTTTCATCCTAAAGAGCTGTAACTGTTTGAAATTAGGCCTGATTTTAGCAAAATTTCACTGTATATCGGCACAAATGCGGACAAAGTTCACTATGTTTGATGCGTGCTTACAGCATTGTTATTGGCCACAAGGTGATTGAAAAGGCCTTAAATTTGTAAAAACAATGTCAGGAACTTAAAATGTGAGAAAAAACTTATTTTCTAGCTTCCGTACGTGCTGCGTGCGTAAAAATGCGCACGCGTAGTAGTAAATTTCAAAAATTTTTGTAATGCTCATAATGGCTTGAAACGTGCTCTAATTTAGTCAAGAAGTGATTCTGAGCGTTTTGAAATTTTGAAGCACGCATACGTGTGCGTTATCATGCGCACGCGTAAAATTAGGGTACATTACACTTAACATTGACTTGAAGTTATTGCTCACTTAATACGATTTTGAAATGGCAATTGGTTAGGTTGGTATGATCGATAAAGTAAAAACGCAAAATTGCGCGTAGCTGATGTCACTCATGACTGGTCACCTTGAAAACCTCACCATGTCTATTCCAGGCGAAGCCAAATTGATCGGTGAAGCGATATTGTGTGTAACTCGTGGCATTCGTGAGATATCGTGCGAACAAAAATATGGAGAAATAAATAGAATAAGAAACTAGATTTGAACTCGTCACTGAGGACGAGTTTGGTGATCCGCCGTACTTTGACCCTCACGAAGCACGCGCGTTTCTGATTGAAAAGTATTATATGCTAAAACATGCTCTATTTAAAGAGTAATTTTGAGCATTTTAAAAGAAATTTTAAAGGAAAAGAGTAATTTTTAGCATTTTAAGGACTTACGAATGTGTACACATACGTCTTAACGACCGTGCGCACGGTAGCATTAATACAGTGTCACAAACCCAACACATGTAACCGAAACGTAATTTCCAGCTTCAGTACGTGCTGTGGGCGTGGAAATGAGCGTATGGCGCTTAAATTTTGGAAAGTTTTGGAATATTTAAAATGACCTGAAATGTGCTTAAAATTATCTGAAAAGTGATATTAACAATTTTAAAATTTTAACGCACAAGTACGAATACCTAAAACGACGTGCCTGACGACGGTAATGGCACATGAATTTAAACCTTGTCAAGTTTAATTTAAAACCCACTGTTGGTTGGTAATGCCACACAAATTTTGCCTTTTCAGTATACGAACTATCGGTCTGATAGTGTCGAAATACAGTCTGCCGCCCTCTATTTTCAATGTGTTTACATCCTTGAAGAAAGAAAGATGAGAAGGCTCCAAAAAAGCATTCTTTTTGACCATGATGACGTCACCAAAATAAAAAATGAATGGACACGTCCGAAAGAGAATTGATTTAGCTATAACATACTCACAGGTGGGAGACAATCAATCAAGATAAACGAGTACGTTCAAACGAGTATAAAAAGTAATAACGTCATAAATAAAAATTCAATTTTTTCTTAATTCAAATGGCAATATGATGACGTCACAATATCCGATCAGCCAATATGATCTATAAAATCGTATCTACAACTCATGTGCTTTCAGAATATGTAATAAAAATTGGGGGTCACCTTTCATCCCATGGAGCTATAACTGATTAAAAATATTTGTGGTTTTATGCATATGTAAATGTAAATGCGAACGGAAGTCACGCGAACGGAAAATTAAGGTACCTGATATTCAACCTTGACCTGAAGATTATGCTCACTTAATATGATTCAGAAATGACGAATGGTTAAGATGATATGGGCTCATCAACGTTTTGAGGATGAAAGATGTGGAGGTCAGAATAAAACAATTTTTTTACCATGATGACGTCATTGAAATGTAAAAATAAATCAAATATGTGAAAGAGAATTGTCTCAGCTATAACATACTGAAAGTTGGAAGACGATCGATCAAGGATAAGCGAGATACGCTCAAATGCGTATTTTCAAAAATGATGTCATAGCTATAATTCACTTTCTTTGAATTCAGATGCCAATATGATGACGTACGTCACAATGTCCGATTAGCCATTATGATCTATAAAATCATATTTCCAACTTATGTACTTTCAGAATATGCAATAAAAATTGGGGGTCACCTTTCAACCTAAGGAGCTATAACTGATTGAATATAGGTCTGATTTTAGCATAATTTCACTGTATAGCAGCACAAATACGCACAAAGATACCTATGTTTGATGCGCACGTACGGTATTGCTATTGGCCAAAAGATGACCGAAAAGAATGGAAATTTGTAAAAGCAATTTCAGGAACCCAAAATATGTAAAAAAAACGTAATTTATAGCTTCCGTAAGTGCTGCGCAAGTAAAAGTGCGCGCGCGTAGTGGAAAATTTCAAAATATTTTGAAATGTTCAAAATAGCCTGAAACGTGCTCTAATTTAGTAAAAAAGTGATTTCGAGCATTTTGAAAATTTAACGCACGCCTACGCGCGACATGAAGCGCACGTGTAAAATTATGGTACATTACATTTAACATTAACCCGAAGTTAATGCTCACCTAATACGATTTCGAAATGGCAATTTGTTAGGCTGATATGATCGATTATGTAAAAACGCAAAATTGCGCGTAGCTGACGTCACGCATGACAGGCCACCTTGAAAACCTTACCATGACTATTCCAGGCGAAGGCAAAATGATCGATGTAGCGACCGTGTGCGTAACTCGTGGCAATTTTGAGATATCGTGCGAACAGAAATGTGGAAGGAAAGGTAGAATAAAAAAAAAAAGTTGTAAGATCTCTGACAATAACAAGAGGTGATCCGCTCGAGAAGCGGATCACTAAAAAAGATGAGACAGTACAATAACAAGAGGTGATCCGCTCGAGAGCGGATCACCAATTAATATAACAAAGATACAAAAGTAAATTAATTAACTAGATTTGAACTTGTCACTAAGGACGAGTTTGGTGATCCGCCGTACTTTGACCCTCAAAAAGAATGCGCGGTGCTGATTGAAAAGTATTATGTGCTAAAACATGCTCTATTTAGTTTTTAAAAAGAGTAATTTTGAGCATTTTAATGACCTACGAATGAGTACACATACGTCTTAACGTCCGTGCGCATGGTAATGATATTAATACAGTGTCACAAACCCAAAACATGTAACCGAAACGTAATTTCCAGCTTCAGTACGTGCGGTGGGCATGGAAATGAGTGTACGGCGCGTAAATTAGGGAAAGTTTCAGAATACTGAAAATGACCTGAAACGTGCTTTAAACTAGATAAAATTTCAAAAAAGTATGTTTGTACATGTAAACTTGTTTTGGCACACGGGAAGGAACCGTAAAAAAAGGTCTGGCAGTCAACGTGTTAAATGTCATGTACCTTAATTTCCGTTTGAGCATCTTAACGTGCGCGTA